TTTGAGGAGTGAGTATGTGTCAGGATATTAACTTTGAATGGCTCTATTCAATGGTAGGAAGCGATTAAACACTCCACAGAAGTACTGTACTATTAGAAACAACACACTGCCTTCATGGTGCTGAAACATTCAAAGCCTTTGTCCTCTCTGTCTCTCTCCGTGGTGCTGAAAGGTTTGGTCCAAACTGCCTTCTGTTTCCGTTTCACCAGCTTTGACACAAACCCCCTGAGGAGAAACACCTTTTGGACCCTTACCGTCGGAGGGACATTCGTCTGGGTCAGTATCTATGGGATCAACCAGGCCCAGGTTCAGAGATACATCTCCTGCAAGAGTATCACTCATGCCAGACTGTGAGTCCTGATTCACCGGGAGGGAGACACTTACCGAGACACATGATGGGGTATAAGTCTCGGTGATATTGGCTCATTTGATTGTCTGTTGCTGCCATACAGGGGTCAGTGCGCTGCAGAGGAGTTTTTTGTTTTTGTCCGTGTGCGCTGCTTCTCTATGTGTGATTCTTCCTTTTTACAGATCTCTCTACATCAACCTGGTAGGCCTGTGGTCCATCTTGCTGTGCTCAGTGTTTGCAGGAATGTGCCTCTTCTCGGTCTATAAGAAGTGTGACCCATGGACCGCCGGACTGGTCTCTGCTCCCGATCAGGTACGACGGAGAGTAACACATATAAACATTGTGGGATTTATTTTGACTGTGTGCTTGTGTGTGAGATTCCAAGAAGTTACAACTGATATGAAATGAGGATGATTGATTTTGAACACCTAAGCCAGGTTAATATATGTATTTATAGTTGATATGTGTGTATGAATGCGTTATGCATATGTCCCCCATCCTCTGCAGTTGATGCCATATTTGGTGATGGACATCTTGGGAGACTATCCCGGCCTCCCTGGACTGTTTGTTGCAGCTGCATTTAGCGGATCTCTCAGGTTAATGCAGTACTTAACCTTTAAGTTATACGTCAACCAACATTGAGAATTTGTCTGTTTCAAACTGTAACATCTTTAATCAGCATGTCAGCTCATGCTCAGCACTACAAAGTGGCATTGACCTGGAAAAAAATTGTATTTTTTTGCATACGTATATGCAATGTATTGGTATGACAGTTCTGCTTTGACTACATTGTGTGTGATTTTGGTGTCATATCAACCCCAGCACAGTGTCTTCCAGCATCAATGCACTGGCTGCGGTGACGGTAGAGGACCTGATCAAACCGTACACTAACATGTCTGAGAGACACCTGTCCTGGAGCTCAAAAGGACTGAGTGAGTGGGTAGTTCTCATGTGTATTTGAGCTGAACGAGTTGTCCGTTTGGCGGTAATTGAGGATTGAAAACCTCAAATAATTCCCTAATGTCGTCCGTGTTGCAGGTATCATTTATGGGGTTTTGTGCATTGGAATGGCCGGAGTGGCTTCACTCATGGGAGGGATCTTGCAGGTAGAGTGAATCTGTTTTGTATTCTTTAGCAGGAGCTGGGGTTTATGATTTATTATAGGAATGAACTGAATGTGTGCTTCTCTATACAGGCAGTCGTCAGTATATTTGGGATCATTGGAGGTCCTTTACTTGGCGTGTTTACATTGGGTATCCTCTGTCCAACTGCCAACTCCAAAGTAAGCCTGTTCGTATCCAACTGTTTTTGGCTGTCTTTGTCATTCCAGTAACCCATGCTAGTAGTATGAATATATATTATGATGGGTATGTATGTATTTGTTAAATTTAAAAATCATTAAAAAATAAAGTATAAACTTTTATTTTTACAGGATTGCAGATTATTTTTTGCATTAATGTTGCTTTTTGTCAGCTATTCAATGCATGATATTTGCAACCCCCAAAAAAGGAATTTCTATCTATTTATTTTACTATAAATGATATATTTCACACCTGGGATATTAATATACCCTATCAATTAGGGTAAAATTATTAATAAAATGTCAAAACTATTGTTTTTTTTATTTGCATAAATGAGCAGCGCAGCTCCACAAATTATACATCAAGGCACTTTCTCACTTCCCACCTCTTTAAAACGTCTGTATATCATTTAAACCTGCTTCTCCAAAAAGGACATTTTACCATTTTCAGTGATTAAATTGTCTTCTAGGGGGCTTTGTCGGGTCTTGTGTCGGGGTTGGTGATGTCTCTGTGGGTGGGCATCGGGGCCCAGCTATACCCTCCCCCTCCTGAGATGAGCCGACCTCTGTCACTGACCACTGAGGGCTGTAACTTCACCGCCACGGACAGCCTCAACTGGACCGCCACTGCTCTGCCAGCACAGACGGCCTCCATCACCACAGCCCCAGTACACCACATAGATGGCAGGTAAGTGTGTAACTGGCTGTGATTGATTATCAAGTTAGTGAGATGTGTGTTAGTATTGAGTTCAAGGAAAACCCTCAACAAAAATTCAGATTTTCTGATCATGTCTTATTTTCTCCCACCTCCAGGCCTCTGCTGGCAGATAGCTGGTACTCTCTGTCCTACCTTTACTTCAGTCCTATTGGAACCATCACAGCCGTCAGTGTGGGACTGTTAGTCAGCCTGTTTACAGGTACACAACATATATGTTGTTGCGTGACTTACATTGTTATGAATAAATGACTGTTTCTGTCGTGCTCTTATGTGTTCTCAATGTACGTTTCAGGAGGCTGGAAGCTGAAGGTGGAATCGAGGCTTACATTAATGAAGGAAGACACAACTGTTTATCACCTGTTCAAGTATTTTAAAGACAGAGTAAGCGCCGTGGGCAGCGAAGCAATATCAAATGCTATCGACTCACAACAGAACTAACTGCTGACTCCCTGCGTTGCGTTTCTTCCCTTTTTTGAGGTCACGAGACGAACAGGAGAGCTCGACCTGACAAAGGACGAAGAGGAGAACACCGGCAGCTCTAATCCTGCTTTCTGCGATGTTGAGCTGGACTTAACAAAAGGCAGCATTCGCACATGAAATGTTTGTTAGGTGATTACTGGAAAGAATAATACAAGAAATGTAAATGAAGCAGCTGAAATACAGAAAAGAAAAAGTGTGTGAAGTTTGCGTGTTTTTCTCCTGTTTGCCAAAGTGTCCTCCCACAGTCCAAAGACATGCAGGTCAGGTTCATCTATGTTTGTATGTACGTCGTGAGTGTGAGTCTTTGTCTGTCTGAGTCTATGTGTGCTAGCCCTGTGACAAGCTGTCCACCTGCACATGTCAAATATAAATAATCACATCACAACCTGTGTTTATCAATGCTGAAATACAGTATATTCTACTGTATTATGGAACAGTCAGTCACAGGCCAGGTGGACATCAGTGAACCCTGATCTGAACCACCCTTTTAAAATCAGCACTACATTAACTCTCCTGATAAAATCCTCATTCTGGCATTTTAAAACTGAAAACAAAAGATACTATGTGCAGAAAATGCTTCTATTTCCAGTGTGTGTGTTTTTTATTCTTAGATTTTTTTTGACTCATGACATAACGTACTGTTACGTTCTAGATAATTATTACCTACTGTGTGTGTCTATGTGGCAGGCAAACAAGGACACACACAAACATTGACTAGAGAATGATGTGAAAGGACTCATTTTGTTTCAAGTTTCGGTGTGACTGCTGGCATTGGGGTCTACTACGCCTGGATGGGCAGGGGCCAGGGAAGCTCTGGGGACTTCCTAACAGGGGGCCACAGCGTTGACGGCTCTACCCGTCCCCCCTGTCACTGGCCGCCAGCTACCTGTCAGCACACTATCGCTGGCCAACCCAAACCGAGCTAGAGTTACAGCAGACGGGCTTCATGCAGGAGCCCAAATGCAGAAAAACGATCTCTTCCTGACGGGCGATTTTGTTTCTGATCCAGTCTGCTGAATGACGAGATGATGAATGGTGAGATGTTGTCCAAAATTGTTTAGTATTACTCATGACTTGTTACCTGAAAACATCACTGATCTGTAGGTGTAGGTATGGTCGCTTTGGTTGGTCTCTTCCACCAATGGTCTGAGGTCTTTATCCCAGTCGTCCACAGGCTGTCCAGCACCAGCACTTATGAGTGTGGGGTTTTGTTCTCAGATATGTGTGTGTGTTATTAAAGTGCGGTGTGTGGTTCTATGATGTTTTTCCAGTAGGACTATTTGTTCTGTATTACTCACTAAGCCATAGTCTGCAAACCTCAACAGACCTGTATATATTCTTAAATGTGGTTTCCCTGACTAAATTAAGGGGCAGATCGTGACTAGTAGTTTGATTTTTTTTATTCAGATGAAAGTGTGATTTGACAGAATTGATATTAATTCTGTTTAATACTAGTTGTTCAAATGTCTTTCATCAGAGTTAACAGGTACCTCATCTCAACTGTAAAATAAATATTCCAGGCAAAGTCAGTAATTTTGTTATATTATCAGATATGTCCTGACTGAAATTTCCCATAAATAAGGAATCAGTTTAGACAAAAGTCAAAATGACAATATGGGAAATTTGGGGTTTGCATGTTAACAAATTCTCATTTTCAGATGTTTTTATTCTAACACTATTGAAACAACTTTGAGTTAACAAATCTTATTGTAATTGTATTCCCATTTCTCTAACATGTCAGGGTTTCTAACCCTACAATTAGAATGGAATTGTGGCAGGTTTCTAACATTTTCATATCAAAAGTATTTACTTATTTTTCCATCTTCTTGATCTTGTGACGGCCCCTCCCTTCCACTAGAGGTCTGTGTCCTGTCTGATGTCTCTTTCTGTCTCTCCAGTTGTTGCTCCACAGCTGATGGGCCACACACCAGCCTGATTAGAGTGCCAGCTATAAAGACTCAGCACCTGAACAGGGATCTCAACTCTCCTTTGACCGACACGACTGCTGATTTGTTTAGTATAAAAAAATTTTTTTTTTTAAAAAGTGTATTGATTTGAACTTGTCTGGTCTACCATCCATGTTGCAGCCTTTGCACCACGTTGCAACAATCTCAAAAGCCATGACAGTAAAGGAGTTCAATTGAAAAATGCTGTCATTTTTAAAAATATTTATTTTGACACGTTTTAAAACACTGCTTGTTTGCATTGATGCACAGTCATGTACATTCACTCAAGACGTTTGAACGTGTAATTACAAATATATACACTGAAAATACATTGTACAATAAGGTTCAGTCAGTCTGATACGAGGCTTCTGACATGTGGAAATGTTTTGGAGGGGTACCTGATATATTATCATATATACAGTATTTGCGATTTAAAACACTGGCCTTTAAGTTACACGTTTGGTATAAAAAAAATACAAAGCCCATTGTGTAACATCTTCATGAGCATCACTTTCTGGCACTTCCTACAGATGGATCCTTGTGAGGCAGACTTAGTTTATTCTATAAAGGGGAAACTATTCCTGCCTTCATTTCTGAGTTATAAGAACTGCTGACTGTACTTTCCTGCGTGTAATTACTTCTCTGGTTCGTAATACCTCTTCTTCATGGCTCGATACTTCCTGAGGAAATACAGAGCCTCCAGTTCCTTGATGACGAAGTCGCCACGAGCCACCAGCTTCTGGATCTTCTCGGGGTCCGTCACGTCTTTGTTCTTCATGAAGGCGGACTTCAGGCGCTCCCTGAAGTAAGCGGCTCCCTGCGGGTACTCGCGGCCCAGATACAGCAGCTTTTTTTTTGGAGGAAGAGAAACTCATTAAACGCATAGAACGGGACAGTACAACCGCAACCCCGTGCGTATACGTGCTTCATTGACTTAACTCACTTACCGTTTTGTAAAGCCTCATAACCTGACCCCTTAAATTGTTGGCCATGCCAGAAAGGAGATGGCCCTCCTCACCTCTGTAAACGAGAATATGAAAGAGAAACTGTTCGTTAACTGAGACGACCATGACAGCAGAGACAGAAACATTTGGCGGGCGTGAGAGAAGTGTCAGACAGTATAACTAACCAGAATCTCCCTGAATCCCAAATATAACATTTGCGACACCTCAACGTGCCACCCTGGAATCAGCTAGCTGACGTGCAGCTAACTTATTTAGCATTTAACACATGCTACATTCATCAAAGGCTAATATACGAATAACCATATTAAACAGTGCATTCATATGTACCCGTGTTCTTCTGTTGGGTGGATTTACTCAAACCGTACGTTAGTAAAGAGACGACTTCTCTTCTTTGTCCTTCCTGGGACTATAGTGGACGGCTCAGCTATACAGCCGTAATTCGTTTCGTTTTGTCGCAAATAGAAATGAATAACAACGCATGCGTATGCGTCTCTATGGTTACCAGGACGCTGTGGCGCTTTTTATTTTCAGCAATCAGTATGGTGAGTTTTCACTGTTTTCTTCGAGTAAAGGACTCCTGTTTGGTATTAAACCTTCTCATATTCTAATGGTTTGAACCGAAGGGTTCAACAATAATATTGTGTTGTAAGAAAACCTCGAAAGTAAGACTGAAGACAACCTGTTAACTTTTAAAGTTAGCATTAGCAGGAAGAACCCTTCATGTTGATGCTCTTTTTCTTCATTTTCTCACCAATGTCTTCCCCTGTGTCTTGACTTCACGTTTAAAAATCCTTCTTTAACTTTCTCTCTCTGTGTTCTCCTGTGAGTGATAGCCACCCAAGAAAAAAAAAAAGGTATGAGCAAATGTCAGTCAGCACATTTAGGATTCTAGATTTACATTATTCTGATTACCATACAGGCTATATAGGTAGGTAGTGTAGATGTATGCAGCCAGGCATAGAGTACAGCTTATCCTACAGTAAGCGCCACCAACACACTTGTTTGGTCACTGTTTTTACCACGCTTCTCCTCAGTAACTTACCCTTTTCCAACACGTAGTAGTGAGACATCCTTGATAAACACTGATTTGTAATTGGTTTTATTTGCTGGCTGTCATCAAAGAGTCGTAAACTGACCAAGGCTCAGAAGGCGAAGCGGCTGCAGGAGGAGGAGGAGAGGAGGCTGCGAGAGGAAGGTAATCCAGATACTTTCCATCTAAACTCTGCAGTACAGGTGGTTAACTCTGCAGGACACTGATACAAAGTAATCTGTCTGAGAACCTGTTTTGAACTTCCGTAAGCACCCGTTTAAGGAATAAAAGAGATTCCTGCAGTTTTAGGATATGTGTTGACATATTGTGTACACTTTATATGTGCTTCTTCTGCATTATAGAGGAAGCACGGCTGCAAGCTGAGAAAGAAGAGCAGGAAAGATTGGAGAGAGAGAGAAAGGAAAAGGAGCTAGAAAGGCTTGAGTTAAAGGTAAGCTGCCCCTGTGGGATATATATAGTATAGTAGGGCATAATGCTTTGCTGCATGCTTTGCTGTCATGGGTGTCTTTTCGTGACAGGACCTAGAGCGCAGAGAAGACGAGCTGAAGGAACTCCGTCATCTACTGGAGAACAATCATACTGCAGTAATCAAATGGACAACCGATGCTGAGGAGAAAGCCCAGGTGTGTGTTCCTGTCTAAGTGAAAAGGGAGAACATCTGCCACGTGAATCCTTTCATGTGACAAATCTTGCCTCAAAGGGCTTCCGTAGTTTTTCTTGAGCAGACAATGCAACAATTTGTGATCAATACACAATGTTGATACAAAAATAATAACATACTCTCTTTTTGTCCCTATATTCAGACCAATTAAAAAATAAAAAAAAGTTCTCAGAAACATCATTTCTGGCCGATATTAACACACATGATGTTTGTGTCCAGTGGGAGAGATACACGCAGTGTGGCGGGATCCCGGACCCAGCAGTACAGAAGGATGTTAACACATATATCAGCTTATGGAGAGATGACCTAGAGGTCAACATCGCACCCGTGCTCCAGCAATGCAACCTCGCTCTACAGGTCTGTATGTGTAGAGAGAGAGAGAGAGATATATTAAAGACAAATGGCCTATAAAACGTCAAAATATTAGTGATATGATCTACCTACTGAGCTACAGTATCCAGGACCACTGCAAATAACACCACTATCGTTGTGCCTCATGCCTACAACCAGCTAATGTATGAAATATATTAATGTTGTTCCTTATAGCTGATCGAGGAGCTGGAGGGTCTGCTCAGAGATGTTACTGATCCACAAGAGGGCCAGAAGTACCAGGAGGGTCTCGTACAGTTGGTGGAGCTAATCCACTCTAAACACCTCCTCACCACCGAGGAGATCCTCAAGGTACGCGGATCATAGTTTCACCTGTGAAATAGCTTTTTAGTATTTTGTGAGGGCCAAGGCGTGATCTGCAAACACTTTGTGAGATGGCTTTTTGGACCCATCCCTGTTTCTTTGTGTTGTGTGCCTCCCTGGTCATAGGGGGCCAGTGCGGACATCGACATGGAGACGGGCAACATGCAGACTGTGGTCAAAGATGACAACATTACACTCTGTCTCTGGGCCAACCTCAAGAATAATCCAAGGTTGGTAGAGGAAACAAATAGATTATCTGGGTTAAATGTGACTATAAAAGAAAGAGGGAGGTTTATTTTTTTTTTTAGGTCACAAAACTATATTTGCAACATTCATATTTAGCATGAAGCGTAGGATTCTCTGTCTTTCCCTCGGGTTCATTCAGGTTTAAAGGTTTAAACTTTGAAGAGGCGGGCCTGGGCTTTAAGCTTCCCAAACAGCTGGCTGTGAGCGATGTCGCTGTGCGGATCCTCCACACGCGCTATGACCACCTGTCCCTGCTGGCCAGGATGGCTCACCTGACAATACACACACCCAGCCACAGGTACTTATCTGGTAGTCCCACTGCTAATACTGCTATGAATAACGCTGGTAGTATACCATGCTCTCTTTGCACTGTGTTCATGTCTTTCCTCATCTGTTTGGTCCCAGGTCTCTTGCAGGCGGGGAGGAGGATCCAGCAGACATAGATGTACCCGAGCAGGGGGAGACAGAAGGTGAGGGGGAGGTGAAGGAAGACAGCGAGACCCAGCAGCAGAGCCTGGACGCGGAGGTGCAGTCCATCCAAGGGTTTGATGGGAGTGAGGTAAGAAGGCACTGGGTTATTAAATTCAATGTGATGTTTGTGTTCTAGTTTTGTTTGTTTCTCACAGAGTGCAACCAGTATACAGTCAAGGAGAAGCAGCCTGCAGTCTGAGGAAGGCCGAGGGAGCCAGATACAGACACAGATGGAGGCACTCGACTGTAAGATGCCACGACACTTCATGACACTCATGTAACCACACTGGATGTAAAACTGCTGTCAGTCAAAATGATTGGCAGGTATTTTGATACATGGACTAATGCCATACAACAGCCACGTTATTCATGTTTTCTAATGTAGATTAAGACGTGTCTACATCAATGATTGTTGTGAAAATAGATCCTTTTTTTCCCTCTTCAGCTGAGGGGGTATTGACTTCTCCCCGAGTGCAACCGACAATGATGGACAACGGTGAGCGTGTCCAGGTGGTGGACTTAATGCAGTACACAACTCTGGGTGGGGTCTTCTACTATGACGCGTTTCACCTCCCGCCACAAGCCCGCCAGGTCAATGGCTGGGAAATTAGACAGGTAAAGGGTTTGAGTGTTTGCTGCTTACACCAGGCCTGATCAGCTAATGGGAACCTCACACAACACACTCTGTACCCATGATTTCCCAGCTGTTGCACAATGGGCTACAGGTGTTCACCTACCCCATTGAGAAGTCTAACTTGGAGGAAAATGAAGCTCTCACCTGCCCTCCTGTCGGTGTGTCTGTGACGCTGCCCGACTCGGTCGTCTTCTTGGAAACTCCCCAAGTGGCTCGCTGGGATGCTGCAGGTAGGACATGCTATCTGATACTCTCTCCAGCACAGAAAGGTGTAAAAAACAAAAACAAACCAGTCATGTAACAGGGTTTTTTCATCCAGGGAAGCAGTGGAGGATGGACGGTATCACAGACGTGTCTTATGAGGAGGCGGAGGCCACAATCTCCCTCAATATGAACTCCTTCCACGCCTTTGTGCTGATGCAGGATACTTATGCAAACTTTCCCTTCCAGAGCTGGGAGCTCAGGCCACTGGGCCAAGACTCTGCTCTTTTCACCATCAACGGGGCCCTCATCGACCTCAGCATCACGATCCAGGTAAGAGACTGGAAAGCACTGCAAGCACATGCCAGAGGAATAAATCAAGAGATCTGGCTTGACTGTTGTATATTTGTGTCTTATTTGACTAACAGGCTAATCAGTGTATGCTGCAGTCAGAGCGAGAGAGGGGTCTCTCTCACCTCATAGGGAAGTGGATGAGCGGCCCCGTCCTGCAGCGGGCCATGCTCAACGCAGGGATCAACATCTTCGTGAACGAGTACACGGACAAATACGCCAGCACCTGCGGCAAGGTCTGCATATTTTACTCGTTTGTTTTCAGAATGGAAGAACAAGACGCTGGCTTTGGGCCAGGTTGCAGCACAGTGTCTGGCATGTATCCACATGTCAGTGTCAAAGTGATAGGAAGTGGGCGATAACATTATCTGTGCTAAAGGGTGTAATGTTCACCAGCTTATTTTAGTTTGTTAGCACGCTAACATTTGGTAGACTGAGGTTGATTATTGGACAAATTATAATTCTGGCCTGTTCATGGCGCTAAATGAAACATTCATACTTGACGTGAATGTCTGCACCAGATTTCATGGAAATTCTTCCAATGGTTGTTGGAATTTCTCTCAAAACCAAAACAACTCACCAAAGTGTCTAAACTCTGAAAGCATGGCTCTCAAAAATAATTGAACAAATCCTATTTTTGAGAAGATATTCTTTAGCAGATGTGGGTGGCAACATGTCTGGATTGTTACACACATTAAAAAAAAAAAAAGGGAGAAGCTTAAGCTACTCAACACTATGAAGATGAACAGGAGTCTGCCTGGACCAACCACATCATGTAATTGTAAACAACCTACTCACCATAAATTATGTAAAACTGAGAGGGACCATTCTACCAAATGAGTGACTTTGATTCACCTTTACCGATACTTATTTGCATATCACGAGGTTACAGTCCAACATTTTCCACAGTGCTATAAATATTCCGTGTGGTTTCTCTCCTCAGGACCCACTCACAGAACATGCTGCCTACGAACAGATGGCCCTCTTCGCCTCTGCCTGTGCTTTCTCATGGAGCAAGTGGAATGCCAAATGTGACGTGGCGCATCTAGTCATGCAGGTATTCTCGCTCACACGAAGATACAGCCGATTTCATTTAGCATTCTACTCTACTCCCACACACACACACACACACAGCCTGTTTGCATTTCTTCCCTCTCCTCTGCCAGGTGTGTGAGCACCACAGCCCTGCCCCGGTGCCTAAAGGCTCGTGGAGTCTCTACCTGCTCGGTGCTCAGAGGAGTCTGAAGCTGGAAATCACAGAGAAGAGTGAGGCTTTCTCTCCAGAGCATTATCCGGGAAGTGAGTTTCACTCCACCTTCATCCACACGCTCCAGGACGACATGAGCACCGAAGGCATAGCCAGGACCAGAGTATCCAATTATCTGTTTGTGGATACAGTACAGAGCCTGCTGTGTGCCACCAGACCCCTGATGTATTCATAACCTGTGTGAAACTCACTTGGGGTTAAATCAACAAATTAAAGATACATTAAACACCTGAATTTGAAATGTACATTGTGATGCACATAAGAACACACATCTTCTATTGTAGAATAGGCTACTTTATTTGTGCAAAGTTCCACGCATCTTCATACAAAAGAGTATTAAGTTGAACACGGTGACAACCACAGCAAGAGCTTAAAAGTGGAAAATAAAAAGAACCTTTGGTGTTAAGACTAACAATGTAGAATTATAACTTAACAAAAATAAGATATTCACAAATCCCCACGCAAATCTAACAAACGCATAAATATAGATTTCAACATGTTTAAAACACTTAGAATGAAAGTTTAATTACCAGTGTTCATAGACTTAAGTTATAAAATATTCTCTGCAAAATGACATTAAAAAGGCTGGCAGTCCCCTCCCGTTTCCTCAAGTGCATGAAATGTATTTAAAAAGTCATGTGGCACAATTGGAGCCATGGTCCATGATGGCCTTCATTCTGATGACGCTGTGACATGATTGCTCAACGTATCAGCTCTGATGATCAAGCCCGCTTCATAATGTGTTGAGGACATTGAGCAGCTTTTAAAAGGATATTGGTTTCCACCACTCGTAACTGCTTCTTCTCTTAAAACACAGACAAACGCACACGCACGCACATAAAGAGTAATGTAGCAAACGTGATGTGATGCATAAAATCCTTCAAAGGGTTAACTATCCCCCGAGGCCTAGCCTGTGCTGTCAATGCAAGTCTTGTTTTAGGAATCTTCAGGCACCAGTAAACATCCCAACAGCCTCCGCTCAGAAGTGGTACACTGTACTTTCATCATCACCACCCCAGTGCTCGGATCATCTCTGCAGAGGGCTGACGGGCGGTAACACCATCCACCCCGGGTCTGGGGGGGGGACTAGACGGGGGGCTGTCCGTTATGCCGGAGCCCCGTGTAGGGCCACAGAAGCTGCTGAATGGTCATCCAGGAGTCCCCGGTCCCCACAGGGGCTGCATCGACTGCTGGCTGCATCACCAGGCTGGCCAGCAGTGCCAGGAGACCTGCAGGTGAACCATGAATATTTACCAGTACACAGAATGAGACTTAACTATCCCTCACGCTGCATTGGGGAAATGTCTACAGACAGCTGCTCCTGCATTAAAAGCTGTGTCATTATGTTTGGAACATGTAGAACGTAGACTAAATTGTTTAAATGGCGTACCTGCTAGCACCACCACCATCGCCAACCAAATCCAGAGACCCCTGCCACCTCTGGCTACTGCTGCAGCCGCCCGGGAAGCGGTCAGGCTGTGGGACAAAGACTGGGCCATGCCTGGGTCTGTGTACGTTGGGCCGGAGGAGGGGCTCGGACTGGAGGTGGGCAATGAAAGAATAAAATGTTACCACATGATAGAAAATGAGGCAAGGGAGAATTAAAAAAAGAAAAATGGTCCAAGATAAAGCAAAAGACAATAAGTTACCAAAAATGACTCAAAGGAAGGGAATAAGTCACCACAGAACCCCTTTTTTAGCAAAAAACTGGATCATTTGTGGTAACCAATGGATGGCAGGCGGTGAATTAGCTGCAGCTTGATGCAAGTTGGCTTCAATGAAATGCTTTTTACCACCCGTCTCAAAGATGCAAAACCCTTCACATCATCTGCATAATGAGAAAGCTGTCAGCAGCGCAATTAGGAGCAGTTGGCATGGAGGTGGATTTGAGCATCGAATGGTAAAGGCAAAGGCAGCCGGCAAGTTTGGCCTGCAGTCCGTCAACAGTACGAGTGCTGCTTCAAGTCACTTTACAGCCATGAAGAGAGTCACTGCAAGGCTGTAAAGTGGCCTTTGATTGGCACTCATATTTGACAAATTAAGGCATTTTGCATGCAATTATTGGATTTTTAGACAGACATTTCCACTTTGGACTCTCCTCTCTACACACTTACAGCATTACAAACAGCTCATCCTGACTCCTGAGCAATGTGGAGGGAGGAAAAGAGGAAAGCACAGTTCAGAACACCACATGATCCATTTGCACAAAACACTCAGTTGCCCCAACCAAAAAAAAAAAAAAAAAAAAAAAAAAAAAAAAAAAAAAAAAAAAAAAAGAGATAATAGTCCAAGTATAGGAGTTTGCACATGAAAGTGTTAAGGTGGCTGATCATGTTAGAAAATGACAGAAGACGAAGCAGAGTAAAGGAATTAGTTGTCGGTTAGACGCCTTGTTAGCCGCACACTGCAAATCAGAACTTGAGATCCATGCATGAAACAAATGATGAAGCTTCTAAAATCCTGTGTCTCACTGGACATACACAGATCTCAAGACCGCAGGGAATCGTTCATTCCCGACCCTTTCAGAAAAACCGCTCTGTTAACGTGATTAAAAGCCGCCGAGCCCCTGGAGAAAAGAAGCTTGTCCAACACAGACCCATAGAATGAAAGAGATTCATCACTTAGGAGGTTCCATATACTCACAACTCTTTTCAAATTTTGTTTTTTGTAATATATATATATGACATATATATTATATACATATATGTACATATATACACACACATACACATACATACATGAATCTGTGTATGAATATCCATTATGTTACAGATGATCTCCGATACCAGATTGAGTTTGCAGCTACTGGAACCTCGATACAGCGACATGATGAACTCTTCCACTATGCAGCTAGCCTCTTAGCTTTTCTGGCAGAAAGTGGTGCTGCAGTAGGCTAGTGGTGGGTATTTGGTTGGACTAACGTCTTGAGGGGCAATATGAGGGAGGTGAGTTTGCTGCCCAGCTCACTGAGACTGGACCTCCTCCTCTCTGCCACCGGCTCCTCCTTCTGCTCGTCCTCAAACTGGCAGTCGGTGTTGTCGTAGGCCGTCCTGTGGGCACGCGCGGGTCAGGCATTCACAAACGCACTGTTCAGTTGCACATTCAAATACAAGCATGGCTGCATGACCACACCGATTCTGTATGTGCGCATGCACACATGCACATTTTCATGCATATGCAGCCAACAAATATTCACTGATTAACACACTCCTGCTGTACACAGACATTTTAGAGATCCCTGCAATAAAATAACTCATGCCCAGCAATTTAACTTCCATGCTCCAATATTATATCATAAACCCACAAAGCAATTTCACAACCTTTCAGATATTTGGAGAGCTTTAAAAGTGCTTTGTATCTTCCAAGCTTCAATTTTGGCTTAGCTAATCAAATAAAATCCACTCTCCTCGTCCAAACATTTGAAAGCTAGATTATGCCAATAAAAAAAAAAAGAAAAAAGTCCACCGTTTCTTACTTAACATTTTACAAAAATGAGCTTGATTCAGAAAATGTCAAAAAGGTTGTTTGCTTCTGAGAAACGCTTAACCATGTGAGGAGGGACCAGATGCATGAAAGATGGCTGCCGTGTGATTTGATAGCATCATTGATTTTTCTTTGTCTCAAAACATAACACGTTTGTTCCAGCAGTCTAAGCTTCACCCTTTCCTTAACACTATTACTGCACTGTAATTACATATTTGCAATTCAAAATATTTCATTATTATGTTACAATGCTGTCGGTGTTGCATGCCTTTTTTCTTGATCGTTAGGAAGGACATGAGTTGATCACAACCTGTTTGACCCTCTGAAGTTTGCATTTTAAAAATTATGAAAAATATTTCCATACATCAGCCACTGCAAAGGGATTTGGAAAAATGTAAACTGACCACAACAAAAGTAAATGGACTGAAATATCCTTCAAGTATTCTTTACTGTCGGACTGACTGCAATGATGTCACACTAGAAAGCCGCCATCTTTATGCATCTGGGGCCACAGTGAAAAATGTGTGCGACACAGCCAGCGTGGTACCCTTCTTCTTGACATGTCTTACCCCTTAATCATGAGAGAGGGCTCTTCAGCGTCAAGCCAGGCCGCAGAGCTAACAAAGCGCTTTAGTGGGGGGCGCGCAGTGCTCTTCCCCGCCACATTCCTGGAAACCATCGTTATCACATAAGGGCACAACAACAACAACCCTCACGTCATGGTAACTGGTAACCCTCAAGTCGACAAGCTTTGGTGAGCCGGATAAAGAGCCAGAGCCAGTAGCTTCCTGCACATCAACAATGCTGGCGTGTTTTTAAAAAGGTAGCATAATTTAAACAGTCCTATTCCTTTTGATTCAAGTGATTTTTAACGTCACTCCACATATGACAATCCAGGCATATTTAATCCACACATGAACACATATTCAAATACCTACCATGGGGATCGCCTGGTCAGCCTCTCTGCTTCAGCCTCTGAGCCGTCTTGTGTTTTGGACTGTGGTGGGTAGATCAAACAATACGAGTCATGATTCATCTCGACAAAAATGCTCCTTTGCACAGTCTGAAGCATAACATTTAAACCTGGTTCCATTTTTGTGTAGTACGACACTTAACATTTTTTGTAATCTGAATATGTTCATGCTTTGACCTGCACCACATGTAGGTGGCACTGAAAGCAATCTTAAGAAAATGGGAATTGTATCTTAAATACAGAAAGATAACTTCATTATGGAGGGCGCAATCATTGCGTTCATAGAAATATGTCCTCACCATGTCGAATTGCATGTTGGCTCCACCAGAGCGGGGGATTGCGGCAATGCTGACCCGCCGGGTTGATGTCTGCTGGAGGTGAGGAAAGGGAAAAGACAAATTACTTCATAAACACACATGAACATTACTGTTGAGATCATATGTAACCTAACTGCAGCTGACCTTGTAGTACTGTGTGGTCTGCTTCTTGCCACGGAAGTCATCTGGAAAGAAGAAATGGTTTAGTGGTCATATATGAATGTGGTTTGTGTAGGCCATCACCGAGTATCCACGTGCCTCAATTGTATATACACACACATGCATACAGTAGAGTTAGAGGATATGGGTTTGTCACTATATTGAGCCAGCGTTGTATGGAGGTTAAACAAAACTCACAGCTACCACATTTTTTTAAAAATATGCATACAAAAATCTATACATTTTAAATGATAATGCATCTCAAGAGTCCGTAACATTTAACTCGTCTAGTTCTAGATGAAAACTGTGGTAATGGATGTGCTAATAGTTGCCAAATATTAAGGATTTGACTAAATTTAAGATACTGAATGTCAGAACAAAATAGTAGCTAACGAGTAACTTCAGTCTAAAAATGTATTGCACCTTGATAGTATGGAACCATTATGTAACCATTTCCACCTCTTTCAGTTTGTGATCCAAACGACCTCTCGTTCTGCATGAGCGCCTCTCTCAGCTCCAGCAGCTCAGCGTGCTCCTTGGTGTACATCCTCCTCAGGTTCTCCACATGCTGGATCATCACCTCCACAGCCTTACCTATACGACTCTCCTGACATTCACAAGGCTCCATTAAATCATCAGAATCAACATCACCAGACAGAACAACAGTGGAAACAAATTGTTGACAACACAAACACATTATCCCACCTGGTGAATCGCTCCGAGCATCTCAGAGCGACTGGACACCCTGATCATGGACTGGATGAGGATGTCCAGGTTCTTCTGGAGCCTCTGGATGATCTCCATGGACTGGTTGTCGTCCTCACACAGAGGGGTCAGAGCCTGGGAGGAGAGAACAGACGGGAGACACAAATGAAGAACCAACAGAAAAATAATCATGGTGAAGCAAGACTTAAGCAAGTGCTCCATTCACAGAAAGCAGGACGGTTGGATGCATATGCAGACTGACCTGCAGTAAGCCCTGACAGCTGGACACCTCCCTGCGGACATTTTCCTCAGCCAGGTCACGTGACCTCTCCTCCAGCCGGAGTCTCTTCTCCAACGTGAACATGTCGCACTTGAAGCCCAATGCCAGACGCTGGAACTCCGCCTGAATTTGTTTTTGTTGTTTAATTTTGGCACTCACTGCTGGACTTACGGTACACATTTCCTTGTTTGATTACGATAAGAGGACTACCCCTATCAACGAGAGCACCATTGTTCTAGCGGAAAAGTTAAACCAGATAAAGCATGAAACTCCTGTACTTCCTTCTCGAAAACACCACGTCTCAAGAGAAACCCATCAGCGCATTAACAAAGTGATATTTTAACTTCATATGTGTATTTTTATTGTATGGGTTTCAAAGAGAAGTGCAAAATTGCTAAAATGTTAACTAACTTTGTGTATCGATATGTTTCTGATGGATGCACAAGAAAAGAAATAGCTAACGTTTTAACTCGTTTCCTGTCTGAATGCATGAATTCTCATTTTGAATACAGAGAACTAGCCGATACAGATTTAAAAGTGGCTTCTAAAATCTACTCCCAAACACATACTTCCCCAAAAAGTGCCCCGTTTATAGTACAAAAGGATAAAAAAAAAATTGAAAACACAGCATTTGCTTGCATTATTGATTATAGAATACAGCTCCATGATCTAATGGTATACACACCTCGATCTCCTTTTCATTAGGCGACAGGCTGCAGATAAAGAGATAACAGTGAAGACAAGTGTTATTACATAAACACATGGATGGCTATGGATTTAAGTGTCAAGTTGTGTTATTATGATCATTTGCTCTCTTACCTCTTCTTCTCCTCTTTGGCGGTGCCGCTGGTGTCCGAGATCATGGACGTCTCAGCTACAAAAGGGAAATGATAAGCAGGTGTATGGGACAACAAATACCTGATCAAAGATGATATAACAGTGTATAAGAAATATATTACACATACGTTCCTTCTCTGTAGCCATGCTGGTCTCACTTTGGTCCTCCTGGACCTTGGGCTCCTCGATGCCCTCCATGCTGCGTGACAGCTCCTGCAGGGTCGAGACAAACTTTACTGCCTCTCTCTTTAACTCTGATCCCTCCGTGCTCACATTGCCCTCAACATCCATATTGCTCCCTCAACAGTTTTACATAAGAAAGGTGAAATGTGAAGATTCAAATGTAGCTGGATATTGACTGTGAGCGATCTGATCCTGAGTGGAGCCCAAAATGAAACTATGTACTCTACCTTCCTCTCTCTTTTATACACTTACTCACAAAGCTGGAAAGACAGCATTTCTCTTCAGGTCGAAATGTCACGCTGAATGAAGACACCATTTGCCAACCTCATCACTGACAAGGAAATAAAATCTTGATAATACCAGCTCCACTCAATCTACTCTGAGCTTGTCTTGAGCTAAACTTAGAATAGGAATAGAATTAAAAAGTGCTTAAAAATTAAAAATATATCTATAAAAAAAATAATAATGTTGTATTATGAGGTAAATATAAAATTGAACCAAAACCAACTTGTACATCTTTTAATGCATAAGGATGGCTCGCTTTACTTTTATAAGTTAATGTTTGTATTATACACCACATGCTCTGAACTCTGATAGTAGATGGAACAATTATTGTGATTTAAAAAAAAACAAAAAAAACTAAATTTTCTCTAAGATTTTA